CTCATTTTATTTCTTGCTCCAAAACATCCGATGCCCCTCACATTGCGAAGTTATACTTCAATGAGGTCATCCGTTTACATGGTTTACCCAAAACCATTGTATCATATAGGGATGTGAAGTTCACCAGTTATTTTTGAAAAACCCTGTGGATGAAAATGGGCACTAAATTGCAATTTTTCACTGCCTTTCACCCACAGATGGATAGTCAAACCGAGGTAGTTAATAGGAGTTTGGGTAATCTATTGTGGTCTTTGGTTGGAGAGCGCGTTAGAGATTGTGATTCCATTTTGCATACTGCTGAGTTTGCTTATAATAATTATATTAACCGAATCACATGCCTAAGTCCTTCTGAAATTGTATACGGGTTCAAACCTAGACAACCATTATATTTGATACTCACGTGTTCTAGGTATAGGATTTCTGAGTCTGCATCATCATTTGCATGAACTTCATAAAGAAATTGCACAACAAATTGAAAGGAGTAATAATGAATACAAACTACATGCAGACTTGAAACGACTCTTTAAAACTTTTGAGATTGGTGACTCCGTGATGGTGCAGATTCGTCCGGAACGGTTCCCGCAGGGAACAATTAAGAAGTTGCATGCCAAAGAGTGCTGGACCTTTCAAAATAATTAAGAAAATTAATTATAATGCCTATGTAGTAGATTTGCTTGTAGATTTCAACATCAATTCCTCTTTTAACATTGAAGATTTAGTTGCATATGAAAGACCTGATTTTAGCCCTCCAAATCTACTCATAAAACAGCCTTGTTTGACCCCACCATGTGAGATCCCAAACCTACCTCCACTACCATATATTCCTAAGTCACCCATGGCAGAAAAGGTGGACGCGATCCTATGTGATGAAATCATATCTACAAGAGAAGGTGGCCAAAGGAGGTACTTGATCAGGTGGAAAGGAAAGCTCGAGTCAGAGGATACGTGGTTAGATTGTGAGGAGTTGCAGCAGATTGATCCAGATGCATTAGAGATCTACGAGAGCACCAGAGACGCTTACTCGACGGAGTCGAGTTTTCTCCCACCCCGGAAGAATGATGGGGACATCAGATCTTGGAAGGTTTATCAGAGGCGTGGCCGCCGATCTATGACCACGATCGAGTCATTGTATTTTTGATTTATTTTATGTATTTTCTTATTTATGCGTCGGTGTATTTGTTTTATGTTTTATCTTATTTCTCGTTGTAACCATTTAGTAAATGGATGTCTTATGTAAGATCCGAGGGCATTGTCGTCTTTTTATTTTTGAGTCTCATGTACTAGGCTATTTATAGCCCCTTGTTTTGTCTTTGAAGACAATGAATGATTATTTCAGAATTTTGTTTTCTTGTTGGAGTTCTCATGAGAGTTTGAGAGTTGGAGTGGAATCCCTAGGAGAGGGAGAATTGTGCATCACCCACCAACCTAGATAAGTCGGGTTCGTGGTTCTACTTCTTATCCCTTCCTCTTCATCCTCCAATCTCCACCGCCGGCATTACTTCTCCTTTCCCGAACCCTTAAGCCGCTGGCCATTTAAAACTCCACCTCCACCCAGCGCCGATACCCAATCCGCCGCCCCACCCACGACAAATCTCCACCGCTGGCTTCTCTTTGGCCCCTCCCTCTTTTCCCACTTGCTCTCAATTCTTTCCTAAATTAGATTTCATAAATTTGGTAACTCTTATTTGAATAAATTCAAATTAATTTGAATTTCAAATAGTTACTTAAATTATAAATCTTATTTTAGGAAACCTATTAAATCAATTCTTTTTTAAATTTTAAATTAAGAGAGGATGAGATTTTTCTTTCCAATCTTGATTTATTAATTAAGCATTACTTACTACATTAAATCCCTCCCTCCCTACATAAGCCGCCGGCCCCCTCATGGGATTAAAATTAAATTAGTTTCCTAATGCTACCTCCTTTTCTTGGAAATAATTCAAGTATTTCTCTGAGCCAATTCTCCAAGAAGTCACGTCAATTTCTGTCCACTTATTTCAGCCTCCTGAATTGGAAATAATTCCAAAATCTGGCCACAATCCAGCCGCCCCTCCTTAACTGTTTTGTTTGGTTTTATTTCTCCAAAATCCTCAAAAGCTGGCCCAATTCATAAGTCTCCTGCACCCCAAGTTGCTGCCAGAATTTCCTGCACTTTCCCTTTGGTTTGCCTTCAACCTGAAAGCTTCCAAAGGCTGCATCAAGGAGGCAGTTTGCTGTCTACTAGTTTCAACCGGCTCCCCATCATCATAGTATCCTCAGCAAAGCCTGTCCTTGCCGTCCAACACTTCCCAAAGTCAAAACAACGACTTCTCGCATGGATGGTTGACCCAAAAACGGAATACGGCCTCACCTACGACGAGTACGGGTTCGTGTGCATCTTGCATTCAACCTTCTTCGAGGTTAACCCGAGGATAGACCACACGGTAGAGGATTATATCGAGCGTATCTTGGATACCTTGGTGGAAGCCATCGAAGAGCAATTGGAGATCGTCGAGTGGAGGATCGCCACCGATCCTTTATGAATGGAGATCGTCGAGTGGAGGATCGCCACCGATCATTGATGAAGCTTTCCTACGTTCCCCTTTTCTCTTATTTCTTGAATCTAACTTCTCTCGTGGTTTGATTGTAGTCACGAAGGTCGACCGTCGCCGGCTTCTGCTAAGCTTAGTAAACGTAGGGTTTTGAGTGTACTTCTTTGTTTACTAATTCTTATTGTTAGACTAGAGATTTTTCGGTTGAAGCTACTACTCTGGCATAATATTGTTTTCTAATTTATTTTAAAGTTTCAAATCTCTGGTTATGTGACTTAGCCTACGCGGACATGACCCCTCCTATGTTTTATTCCGTTGTTTTAAATTCTTGTAGCTTTCTTCGTTATTCTGTAATCAAAAGTTGTGTAAGATCTTACAAAAAATTCACTGCATTCATACGTAGTTCTACATCAGTACTTGATCAAACCACCTTGTGTTTGAACACAAGTAACAACTCTTGCATACATATTCTTAATGACTTGAATATAAGCATTATTAACCTCTTTCTTTTCTGAAAGAGTTACTAAATAATACAAGTCACGGTACATCCATTTCCATTTTATTTTTCAATGATTTTTCTAAGTCGCATGCATGAGTACTTTGCATCTTTAGCCAATACCAGAAGAGGTGTACTCTATTAATCAATATGCACATGCAATCATTTCATTAATATATCATTCAATAACTTTATATAGTACATGTGATGAATTATTATGCCAATTATCCAAATATGAATTTTTCAAGAACAATTAAGTTAACTAGTAATAATTGATTCTATGATATTGGTTCAGAAATAACAACATTATTACAATAAAATAAATTTATGAGTGCTCACCTCAAATTTAACTAGCTTGTTAATCTGCTAATTTCTCACTCAGACTGCATTTAAGCAACTATGATCATGCTAATAACGTAAGACATTTCTATTATCCGAACTTAGATATCTAATATATCTCCCCTTTTAATTAGCTATTAAATGTATAGAAATAACTCTTTTCTCATTTCTATAATAGACAATTTTTATTAATTCATACATTTTCTATTATATATATATATATCTATATATATATATATATATATATACACTAATAATTATTTTAAAATGAATGAAAAATCATAACCTAATTTGATTTGTTATCTAAAATAAACTTTTTATCATGATATTTTAAATTTTTAAAAATAAATTTTCATCTTTTGATGTATATATTTATATTCTATTATTCTCCCATTAAGAGTTCTTCATGTAATATTCATAAAATCATAATTTAAAAAGAATTCTTAGTTTTAAATTATCCTTTAAATTTCAACTTAATATATTTTCTAGATTATAAATCTTTAAATAGAAATTTTCCTATTCTTCTCATTCTCATTAAAATTCTAATACATCCTTAAAAAAACCAACTTAAAATAATTTATAAGTTCATTATAATTAAAATCCTAACCTTTAATTAACCTTAACCATGTGCACTCCACAATTCTATGCTTGGTCTTCCTCTCTCAGTGCCATAGTGCCATGCCTCATTTTGCCTTCGACCCTGTCGAAAGTACGAAAGTCTCTTGATTGCTTTAGCTGATATCGCTTGAGCCGTCTCTTGCCTCATATCTTACACATGGTTGCTCTCATCTTTTAGTCACTCTCGTCTCAATCTTCCTCTACCAGTAGCTCAAATTCTTAACATAGGTGAGAAACTCTTCGATATTTCTCTGTCCCTCTTCTTCTCTCTCTCTCTCTCTCTCTCTCTCTCTCCTTTGTATTTAAAGAAACGAGCTTTTTCGTTTGCCTAGGAACCAAGTGATCAATTGCGTCTTCTCGGACTGAGCCCTTCGCCTCCCTCTTTCTTGACTCCTCGTGTTCAAGCCTTCTTCTTTTTGCTACTCTAGTCGACGAAATTGAGGGAACCTGGTATTATTGGTTTGGGATAGTACTTGCCGCCATTTACATAATTAGCCACTTTGTACTTTATACAACAACAACAACATCAAGCCTTTATCCCATTATGTGGGTCGGCTACATGAATCATTTTTTCTCCATTGTGTCCTATTAAAAGTCAAATTCTCGTTTAAATCTAAGTTGAAGTTGATTTCTATTTCATATGGAATGCTTTGGTTTCAAAAACAATTACCATTTATGTTTCCAATTTATGACATATGTTTGATATTTTTATCAAAGCTCTAGGGTCCTTTACTTTTCTGTCGTTTATATAACAAAATGAAGTAATTGATTTATATGCTCTAGCTTGAAGAGGGACTATTACATAAAATAACATCAATAGAAAGGTTCTTTATATTTGGATCTATTTGGAGATTCGTATATGTTATTTTGGGTGTACTATAGAATATTATATTTGTCCACCATTATGAAAATGTGTGATCTCTATTGTTGAATAAGGCAAATTTTCTGTTTTATCTGTCTGAAAATTTGTTCTTTAATTTTCTTATCTCTAACATTAAATATTTGCACATTTTCAGGCAAAATTTTGGAAGCAATATGTGGAAGCATATATGGCCATAAACAATGATGAAGCTACGAAACAAATCTTCAGTAGGTGCTTGTTGAACTGTCTTCAAATCTCCCTCTGGTATGCTTGATTTTGTCCTTTCTTCTTTTTGTTTGGATAGCTAAACTGTATGTCACATGTCTTTTTATCCAATTTCACAATGCATATTAGTGGCTTGAACATCGTGCGAAGTCTCTGTATTTAATATATTGAGGATCAGAGGATGCAGATATTTTTGCTTGCTTCCTTATCCTAATTTTTAGATTAATTTGATCTTTGGAATTCCATCGACAACTTGAACCCAAGATTTGATGGAAATAAACCATCATGTGTTGTAGTAGCAAGGACCATTCTCATGTAGGCCCTTCAGAAGCGATGAAGAAAAACTTGTTTTAATTAAGTTGTAAGTTCATATTTTTACAAGCTCAGTATGGTGAAACATGGATTTAAAATAGAATATTTGTAATTCGTTTGCCTTGGCATCTAAAAGCTTTATTCTATTATTTAGAGCTGACCATACGGTTTTAAGTGCTCACTCCCCTTAAAATTTTATCAATGCATGATATTTCTTTCCAAGATTATTCAGCTATCTATAAGGTGCCTGCAATATGTCTGGTCAAATTTGTTTGTGAGCATTGCTCCTTACTGGTCATTTGAATTGTGCCAGGGAGCTATGAATTTTCTGAGACAAATCCTTTACTTGGCAGGCACCCTGGTGATCCTTCAAATATCTGAGGTTATGAAAGCCAGCATCTCCCTTAATGTTCTTTCATTTGGTTTGGATGTGTTACAATACTCGTAATTACTTTCAAAGGGATGATGAACTCTGTGCTAGTTGACTCTTTGCTTGTGTTAGTATTTTGTTACATCACATGGTCAAGCCATTAAAAATATTTGATGATATTAGAAATTGTGTACTTCATTCATGTAAAATTCTTACGGACAAATATATAAATTAAAATAGTCTCCAAGTCCTTGAAAGTTTGAAGCTTTTCTGTTCTCCTTCATCCATAATAGCAAGTTGAATGCTTAGTTACTTCCTCAGTATTCTTTATCTATAAAATGTCAAGCCGTTGAGGATTAGGTTGCATTTTTAGGCTTTCGATGCCAGATTAAAGGTGTCTTGTTAAGCTGTAAAAGAGCTCCTTCGGATTCAGTCAGTCAATGATCCGATCTTGAGCTGACTTGATTACATCTTGAGATTGGCTCAAAGCCACTCAATTTAAACTTGATTCCAGTCGAGCTTGTCTCTTGGTGGACTTGACAAATTCTAATATTTTGAAGACTAGTTTTCTCCTAATTAATGGTGATTTGTTGGATTTGTGGCGGTTTTGGAAATTTTTGGCTGAAATGTTTGATTGAGTTGCTATCCGTTATGACTGCATTTTGAAGCTTATAACTTAAGCATTTAATTCTGTGTTGAGTTTATGTTGAATTATCATAATGGAGACTCATTCTATAGCCTATGGTGTGAGTCTATAAATTATTGTTATGAGGTATGTAATTGAGAACTTTGTTTTGACTAAAATTTCTCTTTCCAATTATCAAATTTTGAGTACAAGTTGGTTTTATAATTCATTTGAATATTTATTTAGTAAGACTACCTGTTTTTTTGGGAAAGTCATCTCATGGTGAATTTTTCTTTCTTATTTATCTCATATATTATTCGATATAACTTGTTTATTACCTTTGATATTGATCAAATATTAAAATTAATTCAATCCATTTAGTTTTTAATTTGTTTCTAATTTCTTGTTGAAATTCTTGAATTATTTCGATTATTTCATTATCTATTGATTTTAAACTCTAGAATGCTTGTTTACCTTCAGAGAAAGTTTATCATTGGCTTAATTGGTAACTTGTGAGCTGCAAATCTTTGATTTCCCTTTGCATGTATGCATAATATGCATCATTTTAGTTGCATAGGAAATCATAACCATTAGTTATCGTGCAATAACTGAAGCAGGGTTATTAAACTTATTGCTTAAACATTTAGCACATTTGTTAGAGTATATACGAGGAATTTTGAGTTTGACAAGTTGATGTCTTGTGCGTACTTTTTGATGTATTTTTTACATTTTTGGTGCATTCGTATATTGTGCTTATACACTCTTCGATGTGCATACATGATGCACTTGTATATTTTTTGATGCACTTGCACAGTGTACTTACACATTTTTTCAATTTACATACATTCTTTTCAATGCATCTTCAAAATACACTTGCATATTTTTCGATGCAGTTGCATAGTATACTTACACACCTTTCAATATACATACGCACTTTCTAATACGCTTATGTGATATACTTATTAGTTTTTTTAGTGCATTTGCATTATGTACTCACATGTTTTTTGATGTTTTACTTACTGCTTTTGCATGCTTTAAGAACAATGATATGCTTTTCGGAGTAGATGTATGCTTCTCGAGGCAATTTCATATTTCTTGAGACAATTGCGTGCTTCTTGAGTGAGTGGCACCTTCCTTGAGGCCTGCATGCATCTTAAGGTGATGACAAATTTTTGAGGGAGCATCATGCTGCTCCTTGCAATTGTATCCTTCTCGATGCAATGCACTTGAATGTAGAAATCATTTTGTGATTCATATAATATTTGAAAATATCTAAATTTTGATTATATAAGTGAGTGTTTATCATTGAGATGCGTACATTATTTTTATTTTAAAAATTTGAAAGAGACCGCCTTCTATCTATCTGCGTGTATGTTTTGCGGATCTTATAGCTTAGAAGGTGAATATGAATTCTTTAAATACTTTAAGATGTGACACTTTCATCTTGTTGTGTTCATACTTTTAACTTTTCATGGCGTGTCCCATAGGGAATCCATTCTCCTCTTACAAAATAGGAGAGGTTTGTTTAGTTTCCTCATATTTCATGCTCAATTCATAGTGTTCTTGAGAGTTCTTTTGTTTGAGAGGGTTTTGGAGATAGTGGGGCGGTTTTGTTCTTGCTTCTAGGCAAGCTATCAAGTCCCCAGTAGGTACTATTTCAATTCAATTGTGTTTCTTATTTTATAATTTTTTTTTTCATTTAGTTAATTTTTGTTCAAAAAATTTATTATGTCTTGTTCACTCACTGGAAATTTATTTAGATTAAATTTCGACAACCTCTCGTCATTTCTTGTGTAGGGACGTCTTGGGAGTGTTAGGCCTTATTACCATACTCAAAAAGCGTGTATGGTTGGTGTCGTGTGACATCGTGGTTGGGGAGTCTTCTCTCCTAACTCGCAAAACACTTGCAAGAGTGAAAAAGTAGAATTTCCCATCCGCTTTGGAAATTTTGAAATTTTTGATGCCTCATTAGAATAAGTTGCATGGGTAATTTTGACATTTTTTTTAATAACTTGTGCATGTGGCAATTACAAAGGCAGATCAACGAACTTGTGCAATGGAGTTGAATGATGGTGAAGAGGCGGAGGGGCGTAAGGTTTGGTGAGTTGGGGATTTTGAGAGAAGTTTTAGGAAAGAGTGATAGTGCAAGGGAGATGGAGAGGCCAGTTATGTAATGCCCCATAATCTAATTTGAAAAAATTATTTTTTAATCTTTAATATACAATAACAAGAGCTATCTTTTATATATATATATACAATCATATTACACATACTCTGTCATGAGTACAAAAGAATAACTAAATTAATAAGAACAAAAACCTGAAGGATTCTAATCAATCTCTCACTCCGACTCTCGTGCACTGACTTGAAATCATTTAACCACATATAATGAGATCAAGAGCCTGACAAGTAACCAAATCCTACAATTAAACTCAAAGCAAGACAAATGAGTAAAATGCATGTCAACGGTCAAATCATAGCAATAACATTAATATGATTATGAATTAATGCATAAATAGTAAAGCATACATACGGTTACAGTAAACTTTGTAACCAGTAAACCAATGCGATATGAAAGCCAATAAAATAATACAATGGAGAAATCAGTAAACCAGTACGGGTGTTGAATCACTAAAGAAGACAATAAAGAAATTATATAAAACTATAAAATCAAAGTATCGGTAAAGATTGTCGGAATCATATCAATGCAATAAAACTTTATAATGATGTACACATGCTATCCAATATGCACATACTCAGTATTAGTACAATAAATTAATAGTATCAAAAAACATCGACATTCATATTGGTAACAATAAAATCACTGGTGGGAGCAATAACATAGTGCAATAATAGTAAATTCGTGCAGTAATAATAAATCAGTACAGTAAGAGGAACAATACTTTAATAACATCCATTTCAGTAGTCACACTAAACATGTAAAAAAGCTCTGGCTTATTGGTTTTTTCCCATATCGTATCAATATTAGTAAACCATTGGCTCAATAAATAAAGTCGTCGCTTTTTGTTCATAGGCACTATAATCATATCCTTATAACTCAAAATCAGTATTACGTTAATCAATAAAGGATAACACCAAACAATAGTATTTATAAGAAAGCCCGTCAGTCCACCATCATGTATAAATCAATCAGTCTCCAGCCAATATCAGTAAAACCAGCTTTTACATGTCATCACACATATTATTGTCACAATATTATAACAATAATAGCGACCAACTATTACTCAACTACATACCCACATTCATTTCTAATACTTGTATTAACTGTATGCTTACAGTAAAAATATCAATTATTTAATCAGTAGAAACAATACAAAATACAATAACTTCCATTTTACCCCATGAAATTCAATAAATGTTGCAATAAAAATGTGTTGGATAATCAATACGATAAAATACAAAAATTTATGTGATAAAAGTTCAATAAATCCCGAGAAAATGCAATAAAATTAGTTCTAGGGAGAATCAAGATTGAAATCAAAATATTTGAAAACAGAAGTAGGATTAGAGTCACCTATATTGATATAAAAATTTTCTTCAAAAATGGCAAAGCAATTCGGCCGCTAAAAATTGACTTTCTCCCTTTCTCTCTGTTGCGCTGCAATTCAAACTGAATTCATATTTTTCCATTTTCAATTATATTCAGAAATTAAGATTGTTACAAGCTAGGTGTGCTAGAGGCGGAACAAGTGGTGTGATGAGTTTTGTATGGGAAGTTTCAGGAGAGAGGGAGAGGTGTGAGAGAGGGAGCTAAGGAGTCCGATGCTTGGAAGGAGTGACAGGGAAAATACTAAAAGGCGAAGGAATTCTAAATTTTTGTTTTAAGTCGAGGCACATGAATGAGGGTGATGAGAATTCTCGTGGCCAATTAGATTGGTGTGTATATGACTATATGATGCAATATTTGTGGGATATGAAGTTTACTTTTTATTTTTTTTTGGGAAAACTAATTAAAATAAAATAAAAAAGTGACAAGAAATTTGAATTGTTCTCTTGCATAGTTTTTGTTGACCTTGCATTTCGATTTGCATACTGTTGCCTAGTGCTCGGGGCTAATTTTACATTTTGCCTTCATGCCATAACCCAACTTATATGGGTGTCGTTTCCAGGTAATTTTGACGTTCCAGACGCATCGGCGCAATCCATTTTATGAATGGGTAATGTTCATGTAAATTTTTAACGACGCCACATCCGTAGTTTGTCCTTTTGATTATCTTCAATCAATTCGATTATGGGGGAGCGTCTTTGGTGATTTCAATGCTCCAGATTTGTAGTCCATTTATAAACGAGCAGCATTCAGGTGGTTTCAATTGTGGCTGAGGTGTTTTGAATGCATTTTACACAATGTCATGTTAGTTGATTACCATTATTGTCAGACTTACTCGGATTACTCATGAGACACATGGAGGTCAACAATATGATGCAGTTTTATCTCTTTTCACTCTTTAAGTCAAAATCCCTGTTGTCACATTTACATGTATCAATGCATGCTTTTGTTGGTGCAAAAATGAGCATTTTGAAACCTAACTAATATGTGCTTGCATGCATACACACTTTGGACGCATGTGCATATATGTTTTGTTTTGATCTTATGTTGATTTGATGGAGGACCGACTCAATCCAAATTTGATTTGAGGTAGACTTTGTTAATTGCTTTTTTGAAGAACATTCAAGTTTGATCAATAAGTTTAAATCTAAATCAAATTTGAAGCAATTTCTGAGCTTCAAGTCAAGTTCCCTGTCATTTCTATTTTCTATTAAACCCTGATTCCTTGTTGTATGGTGAGAAAAGAATAAAACTTGACCGATCATATTCTTACAGGCTTGATGAAATAATGATGGGTGTAATTTCAATGTTGTCTTTGCTATTGAATTATTGGTGGTAGTATTTCCACCCAAGTTAAATAAATATTTTAGAGAATATGCTAGTATATGTTGCTAAAGAAACTGATGCATGCGTTTGTGTATTTTGCTAATTTTAAATTGAATTATTTTTTAATGATTTTGGCAATTCTGGAGATGCCAAGTCATCTTCATCACTAATAAATAGTCTTACACCAATTCTTGGTGGTTAGAATTATAAACCTTCCATTAATTATAGGTGAGTGTTGCATGAGGTGTTAAAAAATTATTATCTACAATTCTTTGCTTTACGTTCATCTATGCTATTTCAGCTTACCGTTCATTTTTCTTATCATTGGCCTCCGCAAATAAATGGGGTCAACATCTTTATTGTTTACCTCTCTTCATCTTGATCATTTGACATTAAATTTATCACCCACCTTATTAACTTATTTTTTTATCCTTTGTTGGTGCAAGTTCAAACCCTCTGATATAATTATTTCACTATCAATCATTCCTAATTTCACCATATGCTCATCTTAACATTCTCATTTTTTGTTACATTGCTTATTAGCTACTTTTGTTCAGATCAACACTCTTATCCATGTAACTTTTTGACCCAGTGTTAGTTTATTAAAATTTAGCTTTATGCGTTTGTTTAAGACACATTTCCAATTTAACCATCCAACTTTAATTCTGGAATGGCCATCTTGCCCGAAGAAAGAAAGTTGATCCAGATCCATACTATATTTGACCAACTGCCCATGTATGATATAGTATTAACAACTTTACAGTAGTATCTACAACTCATTTGTATTCTTATCTGTGTTCCCATTCCTTATGTATTAAACTTAAGATATTTAAACCGATCAATTTAATATCATTCCTTATATATTGAATCATAATAATATTCTTCCACTTTTAAGATATAAAGTACCAACCTTGAAGTCGTTGGAGAAACATAAAAGTCTACTATGCTTGCCTTTGGCATCAAACAATTTTGGCAACAACATGACAAATTTTTTTGATTAGCTTAAAATAAATTATTAATGGAGTAATTCCCATATTTGGTTGGTTATTCAAAATTTTCCAAATATGTGAATTTCTAAAAATAAAAACTAACCAAATTGTGGGTTAAAACCTTATTAATTACCAAGAAAGTTATTCAAATTTTCTTAATTACATAATTTTTTCTCAATTTCATCGGAATTGTTATTATTTTGATGATTTCATAATAGAAATAAAAAATGTGAAAGGGGAATTGGGTGATATTGGTCAAACTAAGTTGTCTGGTTTAACCCAATGCTTCAAAATTGTTTAATTAGTATGTTGAACTCTCTACGTCTTTATAGGTCGAGTTGACTGTTACCTTCTATCTGCTCAAAATAGAAGTTAACGATGAAGCTCCCCTTAATAATGCAATTTTTGGTTCCACACAACCGTCTTTGATGAGACCCCAAATTTGTCATTGTTAGATGACTTTTTATGGCATCATATGGACTTCTCACATGACCTTCTTGTTTGCACAATACTTCCAATTCTAATATTTCAAAAAATTTGCTGCAAAATTTTCGCCGCAAAAGTCATCTAAAAGGAAATTACACCCCAACAAGCGCCAGCCTGCCCAACCAACCCACAAGCCCGAGCCATCCCCCCGCTCCCAACAAGAGCCCCAGCTCGCTTGCTAACCCGCGAGCCCGAGCCTGCGTGAGGTTTCAAACCCCGGTTCTTCGACAGAAATCCAATGCTGTTCTTTTTGATAGATATATATATATATATATATATATATATATATATATATTGAAGAACAATAACATGAAAAAGGGGAAATCACTAAAGAATCTTGAAAGAGTTTTCCATAAGCCTATACTGTTTCCATTGGACAACTTGTTTGACAAGAGGACACTTGTTGATGTTCCTATTCTTTTCACTTTCTAAGAATACATTTTCTTGCTAAGAAGATATTATTTTATACTCTTTTATTTGATCTTCCTATTGAAATATCTGATATCTGTTATGATAATGATGATGATGATATGTTCTACTGTTTTCTATGCAGGCGTTGCTATATTCGTTTCATCAGAAAAGTCAATGACAAGAAGGGTTCTGAGGGCCTGGAAGAAACTAGGAAAGCTTTTGATTTTATGTTGAGTTATGTTGGTATGTCATACATAAAACTACTTTTCATCTCATGGAACTATTATCGGCTTCTTTTATCATATTCAGTATGCATTGTATTGGTTTGCGCTTTGTAGCAAAAGACTACTTGCCAGAAGAATAAAAATTTTCTAATTCTTTAACACTATCATGAAAATTCAAGAGTTGCATTGCACGAGGCATGCTTTTTTACAAGAATGAACGTGAAAAGTGCATCCATGCTTGGATTTGCAGGCAAAACATAATGATACTTGGCATTATTGCTCAGAAGTCCCGTTTCATTTGATCAATCAGTCACTGACACTTCTGAAGGGTATTTTATATTGTTTCAAATCGTGTCAGACACTTGGCTCTTGAATAGTTTAGGACAGCATGTCAGACGGATTTAGCTGGCCTTTTTTAAAAAGAAAATTTAACTATTCTTGGCGACTATGGACATATTTTGGACAGGGTATACTAAATGCCATTCACCTTCCTATAGACATTTGTGGGGACACGCCGGGGGATGTTGAGGAATCAATTCGAATAGGGGCTGTTTAGTTTGAAGTAAAATGGATGTAAAGTAATCTAAATTTAGGGTTATTTAAAATATTTTATTTGAAGTAAAATAAATAAAGAATAAAATTTTAGTATATTTGAAATGGACAATCAAGTAAATAGGTTAGAATATGTGCCACCGTGGTTCAAGGCCGTTGGGTTTGCTACCATCCTCGTGGCATCGTTGAGTTGGCTAAAGATCTTCTCCCGCTAAGCCCTACTTGAGTGTGAGTGAGCAAGGTAACTCATTGCGAAATTTCTAAATATTAGTCGTGGGATTCTATTTTACTCCGCATTTGCTTCACTGTGATAATTTCTGGATTTATCGTTAATTGTGCCTAAACAACTAGTTGTAACTGCTTATCATAACATTTCAATAACGGAAAATTCTTGAACCTTAACCTACGATACTCTAATCTTACATTAGTATACTTTGTGATTCTTAACCAATTTCACGTACAATTTTTGAATGTATCACATCATTATGTTTATACTGTTACTGCATTTTTTTGTTTCTGTACTTCGTAGCATTTTGTTGTGATGAAAACTAGGACAAATAAAGATGCATAAATTGTACACTTTGCGGTAGGATATGATCTGAATAGCTTTTCAATTATCTGGTTTCAGATTGCTAGGTGCTATGGTTTGATTACATTTGCATGGCTCTTAACGGAGCTTTGATTTTATTTGTTTAGAGATGTCTGGCTACAATTGCAGCTTGGGTGTCCTTTTCTTCGTCTTCTTCCAATAAATGGCATCAAACCAGATGGAGGCATTCCACAAAATATGGTTTTCTCTTGGCGAAGTGGCTCTTAGGGCTGCTCATATTTTATGGCCACAATAAATACAATAAGAGGGCTAGTGTAATTGTTGCGTCATTGGTGATGACTCACATTTGAAAGGAGATTGTTGTGTTCAAGCCCATATTTTTCTCCAATATTGGGCAACTAACAGGTTAATAGATATTTTTATGCTAGTGTGTTAGAGAGTCTGGGCTAAAGAGAAATCAAAATTGGACATACGTCAATGGTTAGATTGATTTTTAACCCAAAGGCCTAAGTATATAGGCGAGGGCTAATTATTAGTATTTATGCACAAACACATTTTTAACTATCTTGTGTAGACTAAATTCAATTCTCTTTAGGTTTTTTACTCATGTCCCCTTATGGAGCTCTTTGCGCTGTTCATTATTGCTCCATGAACAAAAACTTCTAACAAAATCAAGTGTATGCACCAAGAGTCCATTCAATCATGTGGCAGTAGCATAAGAGTCACCCACTCCTAAAGCTTCTTTATTTTTCTCTAATGGCATAAAGATTCGTTAGAGTCACAATCCACATGAATCAATTTATTCTAGTTAAAACATCAGTTTTGATATCACTTGTTAAGGTACTACAAGGGGATTATAGTTGGATCAAATATGCTTTGGCCAGATGATTGCCAACAACTCGTATTTTTATACCAACCTAATTTCTACCATCCATTGTGGGATTAAACTTCTTATTCTCATATTCCTTAACATAATGGGGCCTTTTGCCATTGGGTTGGATTTTATTTCTATTTTATTGGTCCTATCTTTGGTTCCATGGAAGTTTTCTTCTATTAATGCTGAAAGTAGGGATGCTAGATTGGCTCAAAGTCTATATATATATATATATATATACACACACACACACACACATTCAATGTGATCTGTAGCTAATTCGCTTCATGTTGGGTCTGTTAGTTGCCTCAGTTGAGGTTATTAGGCCTGAGTAAAGAAATAACCTCTCTGTAATACAATGGTAGAGCTACGCACATCAATCTATTCCTAAACCTTTCATTGATGTGAGTTTTATGCATTGGGTACTCCAATTGTTTTAAGTTCTGAATATTATTGTGACATCTTAAATTTTTAAGTGTAGGGTAATTTGCTCCCAAAAAAAGCAAGTTGTCAATGCAGAAACGTAAATTAAAGTTAGAGTTCATTAAATCTTTACTAGATTTAAAATAGTTTTTGTTAATAGAAAGGTAAGATGTTAGGCACATAAAGAAATGAAGAAGTACCTTGAACAGAGGATATTTGTTTTTAATGTTGTAAATTCGTTAATGATCAAATGATGAGTTTTGCAAAATGCTTGTTAACCTTTAGACACTATTTAAAGATCAAGTGATGGGCTGAACTTTGTGTCATCCATCTGTTTTCTTATGCTGGATAGATTGTCTAAATAAGCTGTCCAATGATATGAAATATTTCTAGGGAAGCCATTGCAGTTTTAGCTGAACCAATAAACCGCGCCAGAGGTTGGTAGTACTAAAGATTATATGATAAGAGAAACTTAATGATTAGAGCTGTTAGGGCTTTGGTGATTATTGAAGTCATATAGAGTTGCATGGTTGATACACTTGTCAGAAATGGTAAACTTGCCATTTTGTTCGAACATTATCAAGATTTATCAAGTTTGTCTCATAAACAGATTTTCAAGTTTAAAGAGACTGATCCATTAATCAAGAAATGGAATAAAAACTCTTAACTAGTTGTCACGTAGTATTGATAAATAATTGTGATGCTCATTGAGCTAGCTGGAATGTCGATGTACGAGTAACACTAATTTCGTGGAAATTTCTGTTGTAGCTAATTTATTTGTTTCAGGCTTCATCATTCAAATAAAGATTTGGGTGATTTATTCCAGTTGATTTCATTGTGCTTAGATCTTAAACTCTTAGTAACCCTTGATTTCTTGAACTCATCAGGTTCTGATATATCTGCTGGACCTGTGTGGATGGAGTATATTACCTTTTTGAAGTCGATGCCTGTATGCACAGTTTTTCTTCTTCTTCTGTTTCTTTTATTGTTTGCACTCATTTCACAAGGTATTGCAAGCTTCCTGAAAATGTTAGCAAAATCCTTAAACTGATCAGCGATCATTACTGGGGTTTACTGGGGTCCAGTCTCCACTTTCATTCAACCAGAAATTGCCATGTGACTCTGTGAAATGTTTGGGAGCAATTCTTTTTGAAAGTAGAGCATTTTCCTTGGACACCTCTGACTTAATTGATATTTTGTAGTATTTCAATTTAAAATATATTTCTAAAACTATTTTATAGTTTAGTAAAAATTCGAACAATCCTTTTCCAGGTTGTGACAGCTCAAGAGGAGTCCCAACGCATGATTTCTATGAGGAAAATATACCAAAAAGCTATTGTCACTCCAACCCATCACATCGAACAACTCTGGAAGGACTATGAAAATTTTGAGAACTCTATTAACCGTGCTTTGGTAACTGTCATTGACCGAAAATTTCAGCAATTTCGGAACTTGGAACAAAAGTTTGTGTGACACATTTGAGTTTATAATATTGAAATTCTTATGCATATTTTCCTACTTTTGAATTTAAAGTCAAATCTGGAACTCAAATTTTCGATTTCAAATTAAAAGTAAGGAATTCAGGTTCTACTATATAACATTGGACCTGGAATTCCAATATGCTGTCCATTTTTTCTTGCAGCATTATGGTAATTACTAGAACTCTATGGGAGTTGACGGATGTCCATTCTGCAGGCTAAAGGCTTATTATCTGAATATCAGCCCAAGTACAACAGTGCTCGGGCTGTCTATAGGGAACGGAAAAAATACATTGATGAAATCGATTGGAATATGCTTGCAGTTCCGCCCAAGGGTTCCTTTAAGGCATGTTAGCTCGTGCTACTCTTACTGTTTCTGCAAAACTGAATAATATACTTGTACAATCATGACCTTTGTCTGTTGGTTCGGAGAGGCACCAAAGATGATAAGAAATTCCTACTAAAGAATATATGTGGCTAGCTGCAGGTTCTGATTTTTGAGGTCAGTGGAAGTATATGCAATACGTTGGTTTAATTTCATTTCTTTCAATATTTCTATTGCAGGAAGAACAACAGTGTATTGCATGGAAGAGGCTTTTGGCATTTGAAAAGTAAGAAACCAATTAGCTTCTTCAAGCACATTTGATTTCTTTATATCTCTCTTTCTCTCTCTCCCTTTATAAGATTAACCATCTGCAGATGCAATATTTTGAACTGATGTAATAATTTTAGAAGCATTACATTTAGGTTTGAATTTTCTGCCACGACCCGGCCCGGTGAGCTCGTTTAGACGAGGCGGGAATGAATGTTGGACGTTCAGAACATAAACTTTTCTTAAATGATACATTGAATAATCTAAAACATTTCAAAAGAAACTAAAAACGCCTCTAAGTATTTTTCAAATTGTATTAAACATTGCATATCATTTCATATATACAAAGGTGACTTTAAAATCTATCATTCATGCCAAATCACCCAAAAATGAAAATTACAACTAAAAAGACATAAGTGGAACCTGTCATCCGGTCCTTTATGACTGTAGGTGAACCAAGGGCGGTCAGCCATTCTTTGCAGTGGGTTCTCGAGAAAAATGTCCCAAAACGAGGGAGTGAACTAGAGCTCAATAGGAAACACTAATTCTAACATCTTCATATGCCGTTTAAATGAAAATTTACATGTATGCTAAAAGTGAAATGTCATGATTGTTTTGCTAAGTATCATATGCTAGTTCTTATGTACATGTTAAATGTCATATGCTAGTTCATATGTATATGTTTTCAACTATGTCATATATTTTATGTCTATGCTTTCTTATGCATTATCTTATACAACCGTACCGAAGTACCAGAAGTGTACTGATCAGGTACACAAACATATTTTTGTCCATTTACTTTCTTTTCCTATTTTGCCCCGAAAAGCCATATTGCTCATAAGAGCCATATTTGTGCTTTTGCACCATATTTTGGTACACCGCCTTCAACATACACAATCATTCAACTATTCTTTTCATAGAAACATAGATAGGAAGTATAACATTTTCACATCAATCATATGCATTGAGTATGAAACAAGTATATGAAAGAGACTTCTATGAAATGCTTACTAACAAATAATGAGAATTTTAATATGCTTGAGCACATTAAATATGCATTGATTTATAAAAACATTTCTACATTTCTATCAAATAATAAAGATATTTCATATGCATTTATTATGTATCAACTAATAAGACATCTCAAAACAAAAATATAAAGGAACATGAATATGTAGAGTAAGTTGTTCCAACCTTAAATGTAGCTCCTTAAAAGTGTCGTTTTACCAATCTCTTCTTACTACCTTCTCTTCTCAAGTATTAAGGAAAAGTTATAACATAAGCCTCTTATATCAACCAAAATCACTATACCTCACTAAACACCCTACACATTCTATTAATTTATCAATATCATTAAGGTTCATTAACCTACCCATACCCTAAACCATATTTATCTCATAATTATGAATGTTCATAAACATATAGGTATGAATGGCCATTAACATACCCAAAATCTACAAATTTCCTTAATAAAATTTAAAAAATAATTTTCGGATTTAAAATAATATAGAAATTAGGAAAATATTTTTTTATCAAAATTTCAATTTCTCTTAATTAGAGACCTCCCATGACCCTTAGGAATAAAATTAGTTAACATGCAAGCTTATAATTACAAAATTAGAAAAAGCCCTAATTTGGAAAACCTAAAAACCCTTAGAAATAAATTTAATTTATTGCTTAATCATGCTTCTAAACATCTCCTAACAACATTCCTAAACAAAATTTAATTTTAAAAGAAACCCTAATTTTGGAACATAAGTTTTTCCTTAAGAAAAATTCATGATTATGACTTAGAAACATGCTTCTAAGGAAGCCCTATCATTCTTCTAAGAAAATCCCAACAAAAAGCAAAATCCTAATTTTGTTTCTCCAAGAAACCTTAAGAAAGAGAGAAGTTTCTTGCATGAGAAACTCACATTTCTTCTTGCCTATGCCTTCCCTTTGATTTTCTTCCAAGACCTTGCCAAAAAATTGCCGCCGTCGCCGGATTTTGGAGAAGCCGATGCCCTCTTCCTCTCTTCCACCCGTGCTCTCCCATCCTTGGCCGAACAAATGAACAAGGGACCGATTATTTCGGTCCCTTAGAGTCTTAAAGTGTTGGGTAGACAAATGACGCATGTGATCCCTCCAAATTTATTTCCTACTAGCTCATGAAGGGTAAAATGGGTAGAAAGGGTTAAAAATTACTTAAACATATTCAGGAATTTTTAATTTCCTAACCGTGCGAAATTTGGTATACATTATTTATACCGTTTCAATCAAAATTTCGCGTAGAATTTAATAAAATTTATTGCGTCGAATTTTGATGACTTTGAAATTTCGCCTAAATTCATCGCGGCGCATCTAAATGCGTGCGACGCATTCAATTGACAATTTTCGGGTTTTACATTTTCTCTTGGGGGATTATTGATCGTATGTGCAGAAAAACGTGTTGATTCTTATTTTTAAGAATAAATGTGATGCACAAAAGTGTGCGAATTATAGAGGAATTAAGTGAATGTGTCATACTTCATAATTGTGGGAGAGAGTAATTGAGTATAGGCTACGATGTGACACAGATATTTCTAAAAATCAGTTTGATCACGCTAGGTAGAGGTCTACTATGGAAGTTATATATTTGTTAAGAGGTTCAATGGAGAAGTATAGAGAGAGTAAGGAGGATCTACATATGATATTTATTGATTTAGAGAAAGAATATGATAAAGTTCCTTGAGAAGTGCTCTGGATAGTTCTAGAAAAGAAAGGAGTTAATAATGCAAATGCATATATTCAAGTAATTAAGGATATGTATAAAGGAGCTGTTACTAGTATTCAAATACAAGCTGGTTTAATCAAGTATTTTCCTATTTCAATTGGATTACATCAAGGATCAACTTTAAGCCCATATCTTTTTTGCTTAAATCATGGATGTTCTTACTAGACATTTGCAAGAGGATGTACCTTAGTGTGTCCTTTTTGCTTAGGATATTCTTTTTGTTGATAAGACTAGAGAGCGAGTTGATGAGTGGCTTTATAGTTAAAGATAGAATCTCAAACGAGTATAAATGTGAAAATGTTGGAGTAGCTCTAGTGGCATATAAGATTAGAGAGAGTCAACTTAGATGGTTTGGTCACATAAAATATCGACCTTCATATGACTATTAGGAGAGTAGATGTATTAAATCCAGCCTATGCTTAAAAAGTTAAGGATAGATTTAAAAAAGCTTGGTTAGAAAGTATTAAAAATATCTTTTTATTAGATTTAAATGAGAATTTGACTCTTAATGGGACACAATGGAGAACATGATTCATGTAGCTGACCCCACTTACTGGGATAAAAGGCTTGTTGTTGTTAGATTACTGATCGTATATAAATCTAGTTGTATTTGAGCTGCTTCCACAACTTTTATCTTTTGATAGATAAACAGTGTCTTGGAAGCTATGAGTTATATCAGATTCACGAGTTCATTACCTGAGCGCTATAGCTCTTATGTGTTTAAATTTGGTCTTATTCTCGGACCCTATTGATAGATACCTATTCCATACGTTTCTATCTAGATGTGGGAATGAGATCCTGAATTACTATCAGAACTGTAAGAAAATGGTATTTTGAGGACAAAGTAATGTATAATACCTTCTTAGGATAATGGAAAATGATCATTTATTGTTGATATATCATACTTGCCATCACATGTTACTTGAAACTTCTCTCTCTCTCTCTCTTTCTCTCTCTCTCTCTCTCACACACACACACACACATGCCTTCAGTGGATGGAATGTCTTCCGGAAGTTACTGGATTATCAAAAGGAGATTAAAAAAATCATGGAAATATACTTTGTAGGGCAATGCCATAAAGATCTATTTTTAGTTGTCTGACGGTGAAGTACTGGCTTGTCAAATAATTATGCACAGCTTCAAGGATGTTGCTTCCATGGACTGACCACTGTGGAAGGCTTTTGGGTCATGTATTGTAGCTTCTGGCAAAGTTTTAAATGAGATTTTAATGTCATCTGCAAGGACTCAACTATGAAGATTTACACCTAAATGGCATGGTAAGATTCATCCATATGTTGTTGCACATGCTATGTTGCTTGGCCATCTTTTGATATGTTAGTATGACTCTTGCACCTTGTGGGGTCTCTCTAGAAAGTTACTGATACAGAAGCAACCTGCAAGGGGCTGGACCGGCCGGTCCAACAGAATCCAGACCAGGGAGGGGCGGACCAGGTGGAAGCTAGGGGGAAAATTTTGGCCCCCCTTGTGGGGCTGTTACGCCTGTTCAAGGAGAACCAGCCCAGCCAACCAAAGGGCCGGCTCAATGCACATATAGGAGGCAAAGCAAGTCCGCCTCCTCTCAGCCTTTTCCGCCAAACAGATGGGGCCCACCCCATCTAATAGAATTTCAAAAAAATAGAGGGGAGCGGCTAGGCAATTAGGAGGGAAATTGGTTTAGGAAAGTTTGAGTATTAAAGTACATGAGGGAAATAATGAGTTTTCATGTTTGGATTAATTGGGAATTAGGATTTCTTGGTGCTTGGCTCTAAACTCTCTTGTTTAGAGATTTGGGAGAGACAATCCTCCTCTCGAATTGGGGATCACTTGTATCTTGCTTTCATGTGTGTTTTGCTTTATTTCTTTGATTACAAACTATCGTTTTGGGGCTGATTTCGCCCAGACTTTGCGCTATTCTCGCTGTTTTCTTCCAATTAGTGATAGGTTTGCTTGCGATCTCAAGTATTCCCTTAGGGTTACTTGCGAACTCAAGTATTTCCTATCAAATCGGTATCAGAGCAAGTCTTGGGACCGGTGGAGGGCTGATTTCAACGAATTCCAGCAGCTTTTCTTCTCTTCAAATAGGAAGAAGTTGCTGATTTTTACTCCAAAATCCTATTTTTTGTGAATCTACAAACGCCGGATTGTAATGGCGGCCAAAAAAGTGGATGCCTTGGAAGAAAGACTTGAAGGGGAGATGAATCAAATCAAAACGACAGTGGAGGAAAGGATATCTTCCATGGAGGTACAAGTCGTCGACCTTCGAGATATGATGAAGAAAATGTTAGAGATTCAAAATCAAACAGCGGCTTCAATAGCAAAAGGGATGGAAGGAAAGAGTAAGAATTCTGAAATCCGTAGGGAGGAAGATGAGGTGGAGATTGTGGAAGGAGAAGGAAGAAGACCCCATCTGGGGCCTTTCCAGAGGGAAGAAAGAGGAGGATATGGGAAATGCCAGGAGGGATACTACGGCCGCCGAGGTGCTGATTTTGAAGAAAGAAAGGGGGATTTCGAAGGAGGTTGGGTCTATGATAGAGCAAGGGAAGATCGGGAAACCTGGGGCGCACCCAGCACTTGGGAGAGGGGAAACTATGTAACTTTCTATGTGTTGCTGTTTTACGTGTGCTGTTTTTTGTTTACTCAGACTTACTTATGAACCCCTTCATTTATAATTCAAAGTAGGTGATGGGGACATCGACAAGAGATTTCGATGCGTTTATCAGAGGCGACATAGGAGATCGATGGCCACGATGGATAGCCTTTACTTTTGATGCTTTTATGTATTAGTATTTTATGTATGATGCATTTGTATTTCAGTTTTTCATTTTTGCCCTTATGGGTAGTTGATCGCTATTGTAGCCCAAGGGGCATTCTAGTCTTTTGTGTTAGTTGTCATTTGGAGGCCTATATATATATATGGCTCTCTTATTATGTATGAGGATTATTGATTATTGAAATGAAGAGATTGTTTTTATGTTCTCTTTGTGAGTCTAAACTTCTCAAGATCTCTTTGTGAGTTCTTGAGGAGAGAGAGCACCTTAGATCTCTTCGTGAGTTCTAATATTGGTGGTGTCGAGGTTAGTAGCTTCACAATTCCCTCTTCGCATATACTTCTTTCTCCCCTTTCCCCCACCCATTGCTTGAAGAACCCGAACCCTCCCTCCTTGCCGCCGGCCCCCTGTGGGTTTTCAAGCCGCCTGCCAATCATCCGGCCTCCGGCCATCCCCTCGCCGGCCCTCCCCCTAGTCATCATATCTGAAATTCGAATTCCAAATTCTTTCCAAATAAGAAAATCCAAATTAGGAAAGTTTTTATGTTAAATTCTATTATGAAATACATCAAATAGGATTTCATAATTTTTTCTTTCCTAATCATTTTCACACATTTGGAAACCCCCACTCATCCTCCCCAACTCCCTCCCTCCTTGATGCCACCGGCCCCTCTATTGGGCTCCCCATTAATTGCCCAATTAATCCCTCTTTCAAATTTGAGATCCCAAGTGTGATTTCAAATATTTCCCCCCAATTTCCCTAAAACTGAAATAAATTTCAGTTTTAAACCCTCCTTCCCCCTTCTCTCCATACCACCGGCCCCTCCTTGGCCCCACCCCATTAAAACCGCATTAATGCTTTAATTGCATCACAAATTGGAATCAAATTTCAAAAGTTTTTCCCTCCCAATTTAATCAAATCTGATTTTATTCTCAGATTTTGATTAAACCTCATCACTAGCCCAACCAAACCTAGCCTCCACCAAGGTACCCTAGCCGCCCCCTCTCTATCCACTCCTCCAAGCCGGCCGCCCCTCTCCCCTCTTGGATTTTCTTGTCTTGCTCTCTCATCTACAAGCCAATGTTGCATGGCAGATACCGAGGTTGATAGCGGATTCTTACTCGACGCCTATGGAGACATCCTCATCACTCGATTGCCATTCTTCGACGTCGGGTTTGATCGTGACGACACCATTGAAGATTACTTGAACCGCATTATCCCCACACTCGTGGAAATGATCGACTATCAATTCTCGGACTACGAGTGGACCATCAACGGTCACCCGGGTCACCTCCACCTCCGGCTACCTTCCCAACAACGACGTTCCTCGGCTCGTTCGTCCTAGTGGCTACCTCATTTCTAGTGTGGACGATCTTCCTCTGCTTAACCTAGATTCGTAGGGAAAAGAGAGTAGGTCCTCAAGGTGAACAACTCTTAATTAACTTTTGGATTCATGTTGTAAGTTTTTAACATTACGTCACCTTTGTATTTGATTAAATTGTCTTGGTTAATCTTCATACAACTCTTCGCCTAAGCAAGTGGAATACGGAGAATTCTTACAACTAACTTGGAATTGACGCATGATTTTATAACGGTTAAACTTGTAGTAAATTGTTTTTTTATAGTCTTGTGTAACTCCAAGTTTGCATCACATCAGTAGGTTTACTAACTTTGCTTTTCTTACAAGTTAAGCAACTAGAATTTGTTTTGAAAAACCCTAGACTTTCCTTAATTTTTCCACTCAAATTTGGTAAATGAAAAATTACATTTTTCATATCAAAAGTCTTCCCTTAAGCTCCTCTACTCATTCCAATAAAAATTTTGTCAAAAAGAGAAACCCTAAAATTCGGATCCTAGGTTTTCCCTTAAGAAATCATCTAGAAATTTCACTAAAATACATTCCTACACAAACCCTAAAGGTTTGCTAAAGAAATAATCAAGAAAAACCAAACCCTAATTTCGGATTTCATTCTTTTGCTTAAAATTTTGACATGTAAGGTAGGGAAAACATAGATTAAAGAAATCTCTAAAGCTTTCCTAAAGAAATTTCTAAAAAAAACACAAACCCTAAAGTTTTCTTTCAAGAAAACTCAAGAAATCCTTCATTTCTTTTAAGAAAAACGTACCTCAAGGCTTTCCCTACGCTTTTCCTAAAGATTCCTCGCCGGAATCTCGCCGGCCGCCGTCCGGGAAGAAGCTTCCGCCGCCTCCTCCTCTCTTCCCGTCGCCCTCTCTCACGCTCGGCCGAACAAAACAAGGGACCGAAATGTTTCGGTCCCTTTGGCCTTATGAGGGTTTTAGAAAAAAAAACAAAAGCCATTTTATGCATGTACCCTTGCCAAACTTATTTTCCTTAAGAGAGCTTAGGGGTAAAAATGGAAAATATAGCCAAAAGTTACTTAAAGTACTTCGGCAATTTATATCTCCAAAACCGAGCGAAATTAAATATAAGTTCTTTATATCGTTTCGCTCGAAATTTCGAGACGAATCTAACGAAATTTATTTCGTCGAATTCCGACGACGTCGAAATTTCACTTAAGTTCGTCGCGGCGCATCGAGATGCGTGCGACGCACTCAAATGACGTATTTCGGGTTTTTACAACAATAATCAGCCAACTTATTACAATGCCTAGTAACAAAATGAAAAATCACTAGATTGAACTCCCTCATAAAGGATAAGTCTTCCTTCAAGTTTTCCAAATTTTGACATTTGATTTCCTTCATTGAGCTCTGACACATCTTTATAATGTTCAAATTATCACCTTTAATGGTGATACCTTGCATATTATACATCCATCCTTGCAATACATCTCTGATTGCAATAACAGCTAGCAGCTCAAGTTGAGCAATGTCCCAATGAAACAATTTTTTTCAAAAGCTAGCAAAAATCTGCCTTTGTGATCCCTTATAACACCTTTTATTCCAGCATTATTTGACTTGAATAGGGCTGCATCTACATTAATTTTTATCCAACCAGGAGGTGGGGGTGCCAATAATTTTGATTCAGCTATAGAAGCTGTTTAGCATCCCAGGATTCTTTAATTGGATTTAAATGAGGCTGCAAAGTAGAAGCAACAACTTCAGCAACTTATTTACTAAGTATTTAAACAACTACAAAGTAGAGTACTCTTTATTAAGGAGGTTATTTATCCTCAAAATTTAGGATCTTATTTACTAATTATATTTGATATGAATTTAATTGAGTGAGGAATATTTGGGGTAAATGTAGGTAAATTTACTGAAGTCTATTGATTTTATCATCCTAGTTGCAACATCAAAGGACTATAAGCCATATAGTTTAGGGAGACTGATTAACAGTCATGATTACCTGTTCTCGGGTATCCTAAGAAGATTGGGGTGAAAATGTGTGTTAAGAATAGGCTTTTGCTATTGGCACCGACTTGTTTATTGACAAAGGGCTTACCGTGCTAGTATCTTTGATAGTTTTGCCATACAAAGCATTTCCACTTGTAGTTATATGCATTGAACTTGATCGACAAGTGCTCAAGAGAATGACATGGTTAACAAACGTACATTAGTCCTAGTTTGACTCAAAGGCGTGTATTTGTGACACATTTTTTATTTTATTTTTGGACTTATTACAATAGGAGATGAGCTAAATTTAAGTTGAGATGTGGCTTACATCCATTGGAAGAACTAAGTTTTGATTTAATAGTCCATTTAAATTGATCACAATGGGGCTTACAATTGTTAAAAGACCCAATTTTTAATTTAATGAGTTTATTGATTTTGAGTCAACCCAATATGATTGGGATGTGCGTTAGTTCCATCGGAAGGCTCATTATGTCATTTTGTTTTTTATTTGTGTTTGATGTTTATAATTAACTTGATTTGAAATATGAGACTTACTGCTCTATTTGCAAGTTTCCCAAAGGGGTTGTGTTTATGATCAAAATTAAGGTTATTATTTAGTAGTTATATTGATACCAATTTAGTTGAAGAATAAGTGGGGTAATGTAGGTAAATTTATCGAGGATCCATTGGTTTTATCATCCTAGGTATACTAGTGGACCCAGTCTGCTAACATCAAAGGGCTATAAGCCATAACTTTTAGGGAGCTTGATTAACTATCATGGTTGCCTCTTATTAGGTGTGGAAATGTGTATTAATGATAGGCTTTTGCTATTGGCACCGACTTGTTTAATGACAAAAGGCTTATTATACAGAGTCTTTGAATTGTTCAGCTGCACAAAGCTTGATCGCTTGTAGTTATATGTATTGAACTTGATCGACAAGTGCTCAGAAGAATGACATGACTGTCAAATGTCTATTAATTTTAGAAACTCTACGGCATGTGTTTGTGACACAGATAAGATTTTATTTGTGGGCTTGTTAGCTTAAGAGATGAATCAAATTTAAGTTGAGATGTGGCTTATGTCCATTAGAAGAACTAAGTTTTGATTTAATAGGTTTGTTGGCTTTTTGTTGATCTAAATTGATCAAGATGAGGCTTACAATTGTTAGAAGGCCCAATTTATAATTAATGACTTTATTGATTTTGAGTCAACCCAAATTGATTAGGAGGTGGGTTAGTTCTATTGGAAGGTTCATTTTGTTATTTAGTTTTTTATTTGTGTTTGATATTTATAATTAACTTGATTTGAAATATGAGGCTTACTGCTCTATTTTCAAGTTAACAGTGAATGTATTTTAGTTATGACCTCGGGAGTATTATGGTAATGGTGATTTGTTATCCTTGAGATGACATTTTAGTCTCGTAGGGTGGTTACCCAAGATTTTCTATGACAATTATGTCAAGTGCAGGATCATTCAAAAGCTTAAAGTATATCAACACCTTGTTTGAAAATATATTATAGGGAACTCAGGTAGGTCTTCTTTTTTAATATTAAGTAGATTTTCTTTTATAGTTTCTTTTAGTTCACTAAACTGTTAAAATCCTTGGTAGCAAGGCCATTATTGTATGGATCTATTTATAACCATATTATAATTTAACTTAAATTGTGTGGTCTCATAATTTAGTTTGACAAGCAAAATAAAGCAATGGCTTGCATTTGCCTACATTAGATAAATGGATAAGAGGGACATACTCATGATGCTCATTTATGCATTTGGAATATAGAGCAGTTATTGATTCATAAGGTTATTACGAAGTAATGCTTCAAAAATTTTCCTCTCTTCATTAAATCTTATGTGCTAGCTATTTGACATGGCATTCCAATAGTGGATTATATTGTAGGATCCTTTGAATTCTTTATTCAATTTGTTTTGGACTTTTGTAGGTTATGACACTTTTAAATTTGGTTGCAATAAATCAGAAAATTCATGTTTGGATCTTTTGATAGTTTATATCATGGTCAAAGTTTAAGAAGACATTAGATTATAGATGAGAAGTACTTAGAGCTTTCACCCTCTTTTTAATAGAGTTTTATTATCTAATTCTAGGTTTTTTATAGACACAAACCCTTATGATTAATTACCCCTCCAGATGACGTGAGAAAACTTTAAATTAAAGCTAGTTGATGGGCGCTAATCGCTTAATGTATGATAACATCAATCTTGGTTTTATTATTGAGAGAAGTTTACCACTGTTAGCTCAAATCTAATGCTAGGGCAATGATGTCAATTTTGTAGATTTTTTCGCTCGTGCTTGCGAACTTAGCGTCACCACCTCACGCTCTAGTAAATTTTTGATTTGTTCTCATGCCATGACCCAAGCAATTTGGGTGTTTATCCCAATTTTGTAGATATGTTGGCATGGTCTATTCCATAATAGGCAAAGACTTGGTAATTTTGATTTTGTTCGAGGTGTTTTAAAGCATTTTCATATGACATTGCATTATCATATGTCATTTTCACCAGCTTTGATCGGATTAACTTCAGAATATTTGTCGAGGCCAACATAGATCCCTGTATTATGAAATTTATTGTTATTGTTTTTTCAAACTTTTAATCTCACTATTATACATTGTGAAAGCTGATGTTGTATGATTTTAATTGGCCCAAGTTGTTCTTTTGATGTTTTTTCTTGTTTAAACTTGGAATCCCATATTATTTCACATATTTCAATATTTGAAACTTCCAATATTTTTGTATTTTTAATAATGAGTTTTAATGGAATACATGGCAAGTGACGTGGCAAATATTTTGAGGACCTAACAAGACTTTTTATGATTTATTTGCTATTGTAGGGCTATAATGATGCATCTTATCTTCTCCAAAGAACTAAGATCAAGCTTGAAATGTCAAACTCTTATCATTGTCATAATTGGATTTTGAAGGCACAAGCAACATTAAGAAGTGATGGTAGTTGTTTTTCAACACAGGCCTATGAAATTACTATAGAGAGCCAAAGGTGTTCGCAAAGGTGAAGTTGCAAATGGACATCTCGTAGTTTTAGATTTGTTCTATGGAGTTAAGATGTCATAGTGGAGCAAGGCATGATTTATGATTTAAGAAAGGCTATAAAGCTCACTTGAATAGCTACCATAATGGGGTGGGAACGATTTATGAGAGAGAGAGAGAGTCTTACAAGGCTACATCTGACACACTTGCACTAGTTGGTATCTTATAGAGGCTATAATTGGTATGTTTATATGGAAGAGGTGAGGACCTCAATTTCTTAGGAGGTTGGACTCAAGTGTGAGTGTGATTGCTGGGCGGGATTTTACATCGGGTGAGGGCATGAGGCTTCAAAAATGAGCAAGCAAGAGAAGATTGTCAAGCTATAGGAAATAATGGGAGGTGAGGAATTGAGATAAATCGGGTTGAGTTTTTGGGCTGGGAGAAATGTCAATGATGAAGAGATTCGAATGAGCAGTTAGTTGGGGTTTGACGTGCGTGTAGGATCTTTCTAGAACATAGATAGAGTGCCGAGGTTTTGGCTAATGAGATAGAAGAAATAGGAAAGAGGAATAGTGTTGAGGATTTTGAGGTTGGGAGATATATGAAAAACAAAGAGAGGCCTCACGAGTTCTAGTTTTGGTAAAGCTTATATAAAAATTATTCATTGTTTTTCAAAGATCAAAGAAAAATGCATGTTATTTATTCGAGAGACTTACTATATCTAATAGTGTATATCTTCCCGTGTATCACAATATTAAAAATATGTTTAGTGGCTTTGAGGCTCCTTGTTTATCCTTTACTCATTGTATAAGATCTTTCTATAGAAAAACTTTGAGCCATTCTTGTTCACTGACTTTGTTGACATAGTTTCCTATAGCTTCTTCGCCACTTTATATTATTGTGGGTTCTATCATCACATTCGTTGAGGGCCACTCTAAGTGTTGCTTGTCTCTTGATCTGTGATTGCTCGATGCCAAATGAAAAGCTGAAAAGAGAAGAAGGCCATGAGATTGAAGTTCCAATTAGAAATGAGACTCTTAGGAGAATAGGGACGATACACACACACATATATATATATATATATATACACACATATATACATATATGTGATGCTAGAATATCATTGGCTATCTCGCATTATTCCTCAACTCTCCGGTCACTATAAAGGATCCCAACTCTCTTCTTACTGTTTGTTTGTTCATTCAACATTATAAAGGATTTATCCTTATTATAGAGGATTCCGAGGACATTTTTTAGCTTGAGAGCTTAAAATTTTCCTCAACCGAATGTTGTCACAATCGGCTTCCCTCAAATCTACTAGCAATTGCTGAGATGAAAGATAAAAAGGTTAGGACTTGGTAAATTGAGGAACTGAATTGGACATCATTTGAGACTAAAATTGACACAGTCTAGGACTAAAATGGGCACACCTATATAATTTAGGCTATATTATGAGCTTTTTTATGTTTTTATCCTAACAATATCTGTTGTTTTCCAGTGCATGATGTTTATGTACCATTATCCTGATATATGGTATGACTATGCCACATGGCTTTCAAAGAATACTTCTCTAGATTCTGCGGCCAAAGTTTTCCAACGTGCCTTGAAGGCCCTTCCTGGTAACTTACATTCATTTTGGTTTTTGAAATTCTTAAGATTGATGTTTATGTTTCACTGATTTATTTTCCTGTAAGTACATTTTTTTTTTCACGCATTGGTATTTATTCTCTGAATTTTTTTATAGTTAATAGCAGACAGCGATAGGATTTTTATTTCTTTAAAGTATTAATCAAAAATTATGATTGGATGCCATAGTTTGTGTTTTTATGCAGTTGTTTTATATTTTCTAGTCTTTTCTTTATGTTATTTTTTTATTATGGGAAATTCAGTTAATGAAAAAGGGCTTGGAAAGCTTAAATCAATGGCCACCATTTAAGTATGTTTTATGAGTTCACCCTTGCTCTTTTCTATAAATAATTATAATAATGTTTGTTGGATTATGATGAATAAAAATGAGTACTTGCTCTGGTATATGCCACTAACTATAGGCTTTGTGCCTCTTGTTGAATTTATGTAGATCCATAAATTTTTTATCATCTTCCAAATTGTGTGCGTGGAGTTGCTTTTTCCTTACCATGGTTTTACATGGTCGTTGCTACCTCGGTTCTTTATTCCTGTAGCTCAACTAGTTGCTTCTCTTCTCCTTCTTTTAACACAAGGCACTTGTCAAGTTGTTAATAGCCTATTGAACACTATGTATAAGAACATTGCTTTATTTCTAAGCTAATTGAGTATGAATTATATAAATTGTAGGGGCTAAATTTAGCTGCATTATTTAATTACAATAGAATAGCTCAGGAGTTGATGAGGTGGCAACAATAATCACATGGATCAATGACATGGAAATTGACCACACAAAAAAATGAGAGTGAATGAATGGTGAGTTTGCAGGAGGCGAAGAGTTTGGCATGAGATAACTGGGGCAGATGATAGGTTGGGCGGTCAACTAAGGCGGACTTCATGGGAGTGGGTTATTGGCATGGTAGATTGTTGGAAGAAATCTAGGGGCATGATTTTAGAGCTACATTCAACACTCTCCTGTTGAATTTGATAAGTATATTAAAGTTGACTGATCAAATACGTTGAAAATGGTAAGTGAAAGATGCAACATCGCCTTAATCAGGCTCGAAACACATCGAATATCAGGAATAACTTCTGTTCATAAAGAACGAATGTCCTGTAAAACCCGAAAATGTCGATCTTAAACATAGCACACATATTGATGCACCGCGATAAAATTAGGTGAATTTTCAAATTTGTCGAAATTTGACGCAATCAATTTTATAAAATTCTATGTGAAATTTCGAGCGTTTTGGTATAAAGAACTTATACTTAATTTCGCACGGATTTAAAGTTAAAAACCGATAAAGATTAGTTAAGGGTAAATTACTTAATTGGCCTCTTAACTCTTAAGAGGAATTATGAAAGTTAGGGCACATGCGTCAATTGCCATTTTCCTCTTCCCCCACCGCCCAAATAGGCTTAAAGGGACCGAAATTTTCGGTCCCTTCATTTCTTTTGTTTGGCCGAATGCAAGAGGGCGACGGGCAAGGGTAGAGGCGGCGGGAGCAAGGCGGTGGCGGCGGTTTCCAACGGGGCTTCTTGGGAGAAATCAAAGAGGGAAGTTAAGGAAAGTCTAAGGTATGTTCTTAATCAAGAAATTTTTTAATTTTCCCATAGATTTCTTCAGTTGAAAATCTAGGTTTTTTCTAAAACTTAAAATTTTTGGGAAAAACATATTAGGGAAGGATGTAGGAATGATTTTAAACATAAAATTTAAGTTTTCCCAAATTATTTTAAAGATTCCATAATTAGGGTTTTTCCAATTTTTAATTTCCATATTTCTTAATGAATATTATTTCTAATGGTCTTAGGGAAGTTTTTAAGGGTAGGAATTAGGGTTTTTCATAAAATTTTATTTTCTTAATTTCTAATTAAATAAAATCCGAAAATAGAAAAGTCCTAGTTATTAATTAAATGATTGAGAAGATCTGACATTGCTAATATAAAGAGATTAATGAAAATTTTGTTTCCAAATTTAGGGCTTTAGGTTAAATCCGAAATTTTTTTTATTTTTAGTTATTAATTAGGTTAAGGGAAATATTTTAACATGCAAATGAATTGAAATTAGTGAAATTCATGTTTCCAAAATTAGGATTTTTGGATAAAACTGAAAATAAAAGTTATTTTAAATTAATTTAGGAATTGGTGAAGGTTTAATTTGGTAAATTATGGATTTAGACAAAAATTATGGATTTTTAATATTAGAGATTATTTAAATCCGAAAATAATGATATTAACATTTATAAATGAAAATAAAATTTGATTATTTATTGGGTAATAAAAATTTACATGCTTTTAGATATTGAAAGGAGAGAGAGAGACTAGGGTATATTTAAAAGAGAAGAAGAATTGAGTTTGAAATTATTAAGTTAAATTACGAATGAGAAATTATTTTATAGAGGTGAAAATCTTTTGACCTCGAAGGAAGGAGTATGAGTGAAGAAATTAAATCTCTTGAATCAAAGTGAGTACTCATGATTTTTTATTACACTGATAGTTTTGTTTCTCTCCAATTAAATGTTTTGAAAGTCAAAGCATATTTATGAAATCTTTATTGTTTATTAGATTATGATTTATATCTCTCAAAACTGTACCTGATAAGTTTCCTATCCCAGTTATTGACGAGCTGCTAGATGAATTGAGTGGAACAGTGATCTTCAACAAGATAGACTTGAAATTAGGTTACCATTAGATTCAGATGAAGGAGGATGTACCCAAGACGGCCTTTAGAACTCATGAGGGACATTATGAGTTCTTGGTTATGCCTTTTGGCCTCACCAACTCCCCCGCTACTTTCCCAGCCCTTATGAATAAGTTTTTCAAACCTTATCTCAGACGGGTTGTATTGGTATTTTTTGATGACATCCTGGTCTACAGCAGGATAGAGGAGCACTGGGAGCATTTAAAAAGGGTGCTAGAGGTACTGCAGGAGCACCAGCTAAGGGTCAACTTGAAGAAATGCTGCTTCGCACAAGTCAGTGTAGAGTACTTGGGCCACATTGTGTCAAAAGAGGGGGTGGCAGCAGATTAGTCCAAAATTGAGGCAATGCTAAGGTGGCCAGTGCCGAAGAATCTGAAGGAGTTGAGGGGATTTTTAGGGCTGACAGGTTACTATAAAAGATTCGATAGCATGGCCACCCACTGAGCAGATTAAGAATGACGGGTTCCTATGGGGGGAGGCGGCTAAAACAACATTTGAGAGCCTGAAGAAGGCGATGATGACGGTCCCGGTCCTAGCCTTGCAAGATTTCACTCAGACCTTCTTCGTGGAGACGGATGCGTCAGGATACGGGCTTGGTGCAGTGCTTATGCAGAATCGTAGGCCCATTGCCTATTTTAGTCAGGTTTTGACTGCTAGAGCCAGGCTGAAGTCAGTTTATGAGAGAGAATTAATGGCCATTGTTCTGGCCATCCAGAAGTGGCGACCCTACCTACTTGGGAGACATTTCATTGTCAGGACAGATCAGTGGAGTTTGAAATATCTATTGGAACAATGGATGGTGACAGAGGAGCATCAAAAATGGCTGTCCAAGTTGCTAGGGTACGACTTTGAGATTCAGTATAGGCCAGGGGTGGAAAACAAGGCGGCAGATGCTTTGTCCTGATGTATGGGGGAGCTGTAGACAGTGGCACTATCAAATCCTTTGATGCTTGACTAGGAGGCCATTAGAGAAGAAAGTGTTAGAGATGAAGATTTGGGAAGGATCAGGTCAGATTTACTAAAAGAGGGTAACCACCCAGGGTACTCATTGGAGGGAGACAGACTGCTATATCAGGGGAGATTTGTGATGCCCAGGATCTCGATCCATATCTCAAACTTACTCCAGGAGTTTCATGGAAGCGATGTGGGGGTCCATTCAGGCGTACAGAAGACTTATAGGAGGCTAGCTGCAGAATTGTACTAGAAGGGGATGCGTAAAGATATAGAGGAAATGGTAGCCAGGTGTGAGATATGCAAAGGAATAAGTACATGGCTATGTCACCAGGAGGATTACTACAGCCGTTAGCTCTACCGGGAAGAGTGTGGGAGGAGATCTCTATGGACTTTATAGATGTGTTGCCCCGTTCAGAGGGATTCACAGTGATTTTGGTGGTGGTGGATAGGTTGAGCAAGTATGCACATTTCATTCCCCTCCGACACCCCTACACAGCAGTGACAGTGGCTTCAGCTTTCATCAGGGAGGTGGTCAGGTTACATGGAGTACTCGAGGCAATCGTATTAGACAGAGACAAGGTATTCCTAAGCCACTTTTGGAGAGACTTGTTCAGATTGCATGAGACAGTTCTGAAAAGGAGTACAACTTACCACCCACAGACGGATGGCCGAACGGAAGTAGTCAACAGGAGCTTGGAAACGTACCTGAGATGTTTTGTGTCAGAGACACCCAAGCTATGGGCTAAGTGGCTATCATGGGCAGAGTATTGATACAACATATCTTTTCATTCTGCTTCATAGATGACCCCATTCAAGGTGTTTTACGGATGGGATTGCCCACACTTAGTGCACTTTGGGAGTAGCAGCACTCCCGTTTCTTCAGTAGAGGAGTACTTGGAGGAGAGGGATCGAGTGCTATAGGAGTTGAAGAGGCATTTACTGAGAGCTCAGCAAATTATGAAGAAATAAGCGGATGGGCATAGGAAGGACATCCAGTTTGAAGTAGGGGTGTTCTTGAAGCTCCAACCATATAGACAGAAGACAGTCGCCAACAGGAGCAATGAAAAGTTGGCTTCAAGGTACTATGGGCCTTATGAAGTGTTGGAGAAAATTGGGGCAGTAGCATATCGACTGAAATTACCATCATCGGCAATGATACATCAAGTTTTTCATGTCTCGCAGTTAAGGAAGGCCATTGGTGACTACATAGCCAACCCTGAGCTACCTGTGACACTTAATGAGGATTTAGAGGTGGTTTTGGAACCCTTAGAGCTGATGGGGGTTCGCCAGAAAGAAGATGGAACTAAGGAAGTGTTGATCAAGTGGAAGAACCTCCCTGAC